TATTCTTGGGATAAATGTATCTTCAAAAGAATATTTAAAACTCATTTGCTGTATTTCTCTGAACCTAATTCACCTTATTAAAAATGAAAAGATGTATAATTGGTTCTCTTCCGGATCTTACTGTTGGTGGTCTTTACATCAGGGATAAAAAAAAAAATAATAATATTAGAAAGATCACATAATCATGATTATCATTCTCTTTTTTCTGTAAACTTTGGTCGGATATAAATACATATGTAGTTCCTAATTAAGTGTAAGTCAAGAAACTCACTTTAAAATAATAAATTGATATTATCCATGTAATGACTTCAGTAAAAAGTTTAAAGAAGTGTTTTGTTGTATTTGTAAAGAGGAGTCAGAAACAATCTTACATTCATTTTTCAATTGTATTTTGAATTGTATCCAAAAATTATTTTGGACCCAAGTTTCATTGTTTATTTTAATCTGTTTTACAAGTTTATAAAAAACAACTGATGAGATCTTGTTTATAGAATGTGATACTGGTTTATTGGAGATGCACAGTATAATCAAACTTCTTATTTTATTTGGGAAATATCATATACACAAAGCAAAATATATATTGTCTGTACCAAATTATCTTTTATGATTTGTTAATCTCAATACAGAATAATTGTAAAGCTAAGACATCTCTGCTGTTGAAAAAGGTAATTGATGTATTAGATGTATGACTGATTTTTTAAAGTTTTGATTTTATTGTGTTGCATATCTGTGAAGGAACTTGTAATTAGACAAGTGGTGCTCACTGCAGATCCAAATGGGTCAAATGGGTGGACCTCTGCAGACCTAATGGGTGGAGCTTGACCTAGTTATGGTTAGGGTATGGTTGGACCTTCAAGCTCCACCAATAATGTCCAGAGAGGTTTCAATGGTTTCAGTTCTCTGTTATAATGTTTTCTACTTTCATGTCTTGTAAACTTGTGGGTCTCATACAAAATGCAAGTGGTGCCATCTAGCATCTCTCTTACCTATATGTTGACCGATTGTTTCATATTGTAATGGACTATTTATGTCTCAGCAGAAACTTTAATCTAATATCCAGGTAAGATTAGAAAATAATTTAAGCTCAGATCAGTCTTTCATGTCCACATATTTATTATTTGTTGAGTAGCCAAGCAATTACTATGATTAGCTTATTTCAAAGTAAAACCTTTTATGTGGTGTTTCCATTATTTTATACTTCCTGTATTTACTGTTAAAATCATATAGACCACTGCTTAAGTGACAAATGACCACTTCATTTGAGTGTATGACTGTGGTTGACCTCCACCGTAAAGCTTTTTACCTGTATGGCAGCAAATGTTAATGCAGCCAGTATGACGTACAGCATAATGTCCTTGAGTTTCTTTACTACAAGAACTTCACAGCCCTGTAACAAGAAGTTCAGTTAGACTAAATTAGTTATCGTTTAATAGTTTTGGACCGAAGGTCTGTAGAAAGTGTGTGAGGGTGTTACCTCTGGGTAGAGGTCTCCTGGTCGCATTAACGTCCCAGTGCAATTACTGATGATGGGCTTGCAGCAGCTCACTGGGACACTGTTATTTTTGGACTCAATAAACCAGTGAGTGTTCATCCAATCAGAGTAGTTATGAATGCCACAACAGTGGAGCTAAAAGTGAAAGATTGTAAGAAAAGAAGGTTAGAGAGAAATGGAAAAATTGTGCGGAAAAAAGAGACCAAGGAACTAATGGTCTTACCTGTCTCTGGACATAGTCAACGGCCCTGCTGGGAGCGTCTGTGTTGGTGCCTTTATATTCATTATATACTTTCTGAATAGAGTGGTTCACCACAGCCTCGACCTTTCAGAGAAAAAGAAAAGACGTTTCAATGTTTTAACAATGACACTTTCAAACTACTTATATGCACTTGTACGTATCATTTAATTATTTCCCACCTTGGCTCTATAAATATAGCCTAGCACCACTACAACTACCTCTGTGGCAAATACCAGTAGCAGCACTGCCGAGAACTGCAAAAAAATCAGACAGAAACAATCAGGAAAGATTCTGCAAGAAAAATCATCAGAGCTACAGTATGTATGTGAAAATGAGGGATATCAGACTACCGTGACCAGGCCACAGCGGCTTTCTCGAATGGTGGCACAGCATCCAATGAAACCAATGACAAAAAGAAGCGTGCCCACAGCAACTATCACCATGGCAGGGATGAAAGTGTAGATATCCTCAAAAAAATGATCATAATCATCATATGTGATGAAAACGTAGGCCCCAATGTAGCACAGTATACCTGCGGCAGCCTGGGAAGTGTGCAACAGATTTTTTTTTAGTTTTTTTTGTTTGTTTGTTTGTTTTATGATTGTAATTTTATTCAATATATCAAATCAGACATAATTTATAAGCAGTTTTATTTCTCACAAAATTAAAATGTGGAATAAGTTCGATTTTAAAATGTATTTCATTGACATTCTTTCCAAGTGTATTTTTAGAGTTGTATTAAAATTGGTACAGTTAAAGCCTGTGTATTATGATATTAAAATATATAGTGTTTTAGGTTGTGTATTGACAAACATTAACATTTTAATATTCATTACAAGCCACGTTACAATTATTTAGGTATTATGGCTGCAAGAATCATATGCTTCCAGTTTCATTATTAAACTCAATATAGATATAAATTTAATTGACATGAGTGATGACTGCTAATATCTTAACGTTGTTTGAGCAAAGAATAGCTTTACAATTTTCAGAATAAATGAAACAAAAAGCAGAACAAAAATTCAGAACAAAAACCAAGTGTTTCAATTATTCCTGCTCTACAAAAATCTCTGTACAACGATATTGAAAGGTGTAGTTTTGATTTTCTTTGCGATTACAGACGATATTGTAATTCTTATTTTATGGATAGATTTGATTATATATGGGTTATTTTACACGTATGCTAAGTTAATGCAACGCTAAAAGCTGCGTTTTCGTTATATAATTTGTGTATTATGTGATTTGACATTCGTTACTTCAACCAAATATAGTAGCTAGTGCTCTGTCGTGACACATGGGGACAAAATAGACAAAAACCAATGTGCAATACTGCGCTTGGATTCATTCAGTGATGCTTTCAATCAAAATCATAACGGATTTCTGTCTATTAAAAGCCTGTCGAGTATGCATGTAAACAACAGCTCATTCGCGGTAGCTCGTGTCTCCCTGCAGAGCTATGCCATAGTGCCCGCTAACCACTGCATTCATTCAAGCTATTATACTGTAAGCAACTTACCCAAAAAAACAGATTCAAGAAGACTAAAACCGTCTTCGAAGAAATAACACCACATTGTCCCATTATCACGCCGAGGCCAGGCTATATATTTTAATCCAAGGAGAGAAATTCACGTTAATAGCAGATGCATGTCGTGCGATTGTCGGGATCCGCGAGTCAACAGAGCATCCAACTGGACAGCGCCAGTCACGTGTCCCACTGACCTCAATATCGCGAAGTGAACTGCGCTGTTTGCTCTCTCAGCGACAGCCCAATGCGTATTACAGACATCCTTAACTCTCCTGCTGGCATGAAGAAACTGCACCAGCCTGCGTTCCTTTGGTCAAATTTGATCCACCTTTAAAACTATTAGAAATGCATGAAATCATGAACAGCAAAGCTAAGGAAAATATTGGGGTAGACTGTGCACATCCATCTCAACAATTTCTCCCCTCTTATGCAAAACGTAGTGGCAGTATAGGTTGATAAAAGTGATGTACTATAAAATGGCTGATATTTTTGAGTCACTTTTAGTCATCTTCTTATAATGAATAAAATTATTAATCCAGCCTTCTTACACAACATTTACAATTATAACCTCTCCTCAGTTCAAAGGTCAAAGAGAACCAGTTCAATAGAATTGTTAATATGGCATTCATACATATTTCTTTGGTTACCTGATCATATATTAAAAAGGAAAGATAAATATGTTGTGATGTGTTGTGCTGACTAAATGGAGAACAAGGCCAGGTCAAAGACGGTTATCATTTGTATTGTCTACAAGATAACAAACTTATGTAATTAATTTATGTAAGAGAAAATTATGGTCAACTGATTTTCACGTTGACAAACACAGACTTAAATTTGGCAAAGGTACAAGTATTATACACATTTAGAGCACCAGTAGGTATTTGGTAATTGATATGCATGTAGTACTTTTTGCACACTATGTTTGTACAAGAATTATATTCAGTTCTTAAGGAAAGACAATAGTAATATGCTAATGAACAATGTATCAGTTTTTACCTTGTGTTATTCATATTATATATACAGTATAGTCTTTCAGTGTTTCAGAACATTTATAACTTAACATTTATTTTGTCATTTATTTTAGTTCTTGGAAATTTTGCATTTTGATGGGTTGTCATTATAACTGTTAGAAATGGTTGAGATTTGTTTGAAAGGAAAATTATCTTCCACGTGTGTTGCTGAAGTCTTAGATTTGCATTTGTTTGCTGTTCTGTTTGTGATGTTTGTAAAAATGTAAACTTTCTCAAAGCAGCATTTTTTCTGAGATTATATTGTTGTGCTTTGGTCCACTTTTTAGTTTATGTTGTTTTGCTTTTCCAATCCATGTCTTGAATTTCTTTCTGATGTTTTCTGATAAATACAATATATTATAGTGTTTAAAGTTTGCAGTTTTCATAAAAACTAATTTGGTTACCATCTGAATACCTAATTCTACAATGAAATCCCACTGAAATCACCAAGCGTAACAATTCTCTAAATCCTAACCATTCACTCACCTGCTTGGGGTTAAAAAATAAATAAATATATAGGCTAAATACATTAAAAAAAAAACTTCCACTGAGTAAAGAAATTTAGATCACAAAAATTGACACTTTTAACATTGTAGTTTCATGCAGGAGCAACTGACTTCACTAATTAATCCTTTATTTAGTACAAATTATTGGAAAAAAAAAACATTTCTGGACATCTTCTAAAAATAAATATACAAGTATAACTTGTTGCATTTCTTGTGACATGGAGGTGGTTAAAAGTTTTAGTTAAGAAACAAATTACAGTTGATGAAAAAGCAATTACAAATTTCATGTGAATTAAACACTTCGAAGATCTCAGCCGATGGCAGTCATCATTTTTTATTGTCTTGGATGTAGCTGTCTAATATCTTCATTAATATTGCAGTCCCCTAGAACGACCAAAAACAGTTCATAAATCAATTGTCGATTATATTCAATCATTGATTATGTTATTGATAACATTATATTGATTAAGTAGCCTATGTTAGATTATAGCCTATACAGTTGATAATGCAGAATTGTGCTAATTATATTTTAAGCCAGACAAACACATTAATTTAAATAAAAAAAATTATGAAAACTATTTACAACAGAAGAATATTCTCTCTCATTTTCATTTCAGACCAGAGTAGAAACTATACTTCAAAATGAACAGAAAATCCAGACTCGGTTCTTACCGGAACTTTAGGGCGGATCTCCTGAGAGTCGAGGTGTGTTTGAAGCGCGATCCTCAGCATCTCCTGGTAGAGGTCCGCGGGCTCGACCTGCTGGGGATTCAGGGCAGCCTCGATGGCTTTCATCGTGGAGTCATCCTCGGTCGGCAAGTGTTCGCTGTCCACAACACTTTTCTTCCCCATAAAATGACCTTAAGTGCCAAATCACATTTCTGTTCTAGGTAAAAGTCACGTTATATGTAGCACAATAATAAGTCGTGTGTGCATCTCACCTGTTGCCCATAAATTTCCTCTCGGGTTCACTTTGATCTTTGCAACTTTGTTTCTTAGTTCAGTCAAGTCCAGGCTCACCGAGGACGCTATCGAAACGTAAAAAGAGAACAGCACAAGGTATGTGAGGAATCCACAGTGACAGAAACTGGCTACACTTAAACTGGACATTTCTAAAAGCTGTTGGTGGCTCGCTCTATCTCTCTCTCTCAGCGCGCGTAAATCTATTACGACTGGAGGCGTCAGATGTTGGTTTTATATCGCGCGGATGGGAGGGCTGGATGGGGTGTCGTGTAGTAATGGTCCAGCGAACAGTAACAGTCATGTGTGACGTTGTCGATCACTGCAAATAAGGCGCGTGTTGGGAATATGAGAGAACCTATGGAAAAGTAATTCACTTGCCAACACGTGCCGAGTCAAATTTCCCTGAGCTGCAGCGCTCAGTTCAGCACCACGGACAACACTCACATCACATGCTGCTGCAGCGGAGGAAATGCTATGACATTTGGCTTCCTAAAGGAGTTCACATGATTTAAACAGTGTCATTAGTAAGTAAATTAAAAGTCCATTTATCCAGCCTTGTAGGTTTTTATCATTTTTATTATAATTTCCTAATAACTCTTCATTCTCAGTCTGTTTAATGTCCAAAACAATGCCACATAGAAATCATATTTTAATACATGAATAATTAATTAATTAATTAAATGGTCATGTTGTACATGCTATTTTTGATTGAGTTCCTGTGATACTAACAATACAAATTATTTAATTGCTGTTTGTAATCAATACAGATGATCTGTTCTTTTATGATCCACACTGAAAAAAATGGTGTAGAAACAATTTTCACTCAGAAATAGTAAATTTCACAATTAATTACAATGAAACAGCAAAAATTTAAGAAAGATTTTAGAAAGACTTATTTTACACTGTCTTGTCACATGTTACATTACATGCAACTAACCCTAAACCAAACACTGGCCCCATTAAGTACATGTTGTTAATTAATGTTAATCATTACTTACATGTGTAATTACACTGTAACAGGGACACCTTAAAATAAAGTGTAACCAAAGACTGAAATTGTATTTTCCTGTAAAACATTCACTAATTACCTTTTTTTATTATTAAACACAACTTCAAAAAAATCATTGTTTACTCTGCATTGATATGTTTGGTAAATACAAAAAGGTCAGGTTCAAAGGTCCTGTTTTATGAGTCAAATCACACATTATAGTAAATTGCCAGTACTTGCAGTTATGACATTATTAAATTGACTCTAATGCCTTCTAAACACCCCAATGCTCTAAATCATATTATGCTTTGCATTCTTTATTTTTGATACTTTGCATTCGTTTTTAGATGCATACTCATTTAGAGTCAATGGCATACCTTACTCTCAGAACAATTCTTGCTTAAACATTATACAAGTAAGGAAATCAGCTTTGAGAAAAGAAAGATTTGTATCAGCTTGTCCTCATCTTGTTTTTTTTTCCCTCTCATGGAAATCAATGGGTCTCCCTGTGGGGGGTGTTTCCTTCACAGTTTCCAGGTGGGGCAGGAAGGGTAGGGTGAAGACCCGGAGTAAACTTATGAAAGGCTGAAGGTGAAAATGCAATCCATTACCACTAGTGACACCTCTTTTCCCTATGGCCTGACATCCTGAGACCCTAATGGTGTGACTCAAGTGAACAAGCATTCGACTCGACTCTGCAGTCTGAAACAAATGGGCCAGTGACTCACAAGGGACATGGCATGCCATAAAACTCAGATGTGTGGAATCAGATGATGGCTGATTAATGCTGAGAGTTTAAAGGTGCTAACCTTCCCCTGCTTCACAACTTTCTTTATGAAAACCCACATAAGAACTAAGCTGCATGTAGTAAGTAGAGTGCAGAGAGAGTGTAACCCTCAAACTGTCTTGACTCTCACCCGTCATTTTAACATTTAAACACCTTTTAAAGTGTGAAAGCAAAATGTAGAATGATTCATGTTTTGTGACGCTGAATGTGATAAACAAAATCTAATTATCACTTTGGATTGGTGCTTGATCTTTTCTTAATAAGATGCCAGGGAGAGAATATGTAGGCTATCTTGTGTTTTGACGTGATAAATTGAAGCAACAGAGGCAGAACAAATCATTATTAGAGAAATGTTTTTAAACAGCTAAATGGCAAAAAAAAAGTCATTGAGAAAAATGTGAGACTAATAACATGAAAGGTTCTGACCTACAAAGTAGAAAGACGTGTCACACAATACACTTGTCACCTCAGAAAACTGCATCATTTAAATGTAATTGATAACTTAACCTTTTAAGAGAGAAGCTATTTTTTTTTAGTTCAGTGCACTGGAATAATAGCCATTTATGGGTGGCATCGTGGCTCAGCGGGTAGCACTGTCACCTCACACCTCCCCGGGAAAAGTCCTGGATGATCCAGGAGAATTTTCTGTTAACCTGCACGTTTTCCCTGTGTCAGAGTGGTTTGCCTCCGGGTGTTTCGGTTTCCCCCAAATCCAAAGGCATGCATCATAGGTGAATTGGTCTATGGCCTGAGATGCTGGGATAGGCTCCGGCATCCCTGTGACCATACATAGGAAAAGGGACTATTTATTATCTCACATACCTTGTGATGGGACTATTTATTAGTGTTCACCAGCTGCTATAAAATATTACATTACTTTGCCATCACAGTACACAGATTTTAAAAACCCATACATTCATTTGAAAAAATCCCTCATATTTACATATTTACATTAAATGAAATAATGGTGTTGAATTAAATAATGGGCTATAATTATACTTATCTGCATGATAAATTGTTGTTTCTATGGGGAAATATTTTTTTTTATGTGTTCACCATTTAGAAACTTGTCTTGTGCTACCATTGACTTTAAAAAGTGTGTCTTCTGCTTTATGATTTAATTGTCACTAGGTGGGTCTTTCAACCCATTCAGCCATAGATAATGTGAAATAAATGCAAATCAGCTTCTGCACTGGATTACTCTCTGAGCATGATGTATATAGTTAATGACATTCCATAGTGAAGCAAGAGATGTACTTCACACTTTTATTAATAGATTCTTAATTGTGCTGACATTTTCTCACTTTTTTTATTGTGAGAATGTAGGTTCAAAATTTGGATTTGAATTGTGTTAGAGAGGGGGACAAAAATAGAAATTAATTAAATTATTTTGTACAAATGCAAAAAAATGCATTGCTGTTATTTCAGAAGTAATCAGTGTTGATTTATATTTATTGTTTTGTGTGAGGAATCCTTTTACTGCTCATCATGGATGCAAAAAAGCTCACCCTGTTTTTTAGTGTTTCACATGTTACAGGTTTAATTTTAATACATGTTTAACTGAAAAATTAGTGTTTACTATTGTCATTTTGCATTATTGACACACTATTTTCCTAATTAATTACACTCAAATGAAGCAAGAAAACTGTTGTAAAGGGCTTTTTTATGTAATAATGAAGACAACAGCCGTTCCTGTTGTATTATCCCACAAATTAATACCACTGCCTGTTTCAAAATATGATTCAGAAAAGTTATCATTCCACCATTATGGAGTAATTTTGAGCCATATTATTTTGCTTGTTTGAATTTTTGAATAAGGAAAATTCAAACAATAATTAATCACAATATTTCCATCTTTATCAGTCTGTGCTCACACTAACAATGCTGAGTAAATATTGCCATACTCAAAATATTTCTCTTTATTATCATGAAATGCTGTTCTAATTTCCTGTAGAGATGTTATACTATGAAGGAAATTATTATGATTGTCAAGCACAAACAATTAGGTGAGACTGACTCAGTGAATTATGAGTAGGTAATTAGTCTTAGTGAGTAGTGTGAGTAATCTCTGGAACAACAGGTCCGGGCCAATTTTTTAACATCTGTCATTGTTTACTGGTGATTGAAAGTTATTGGTACATTATTGTCTTTACAAAGATACCATCGTCAGTTTCAGTTTCACAACAACATCGACTGATCTAACAAGAACACGGCATAGTGTAGGTTTGCTCTAAAGAAACACCTTGATGGACGTTTGACAAATATTTATCACTTTAATTGCTTGACTGGTTCCCATGACAGCATGTGTACATCTGAGAGGCCCGCTTAGCTTATCAAAATAATATTTGACACTCCATATGTTACGCTAATAGATAACAGCTAAAGAACACGAGGGTTCACGCAATTGTCAGTGTATATTGTTTAACTAGCAGTCATATTGCCACTCGCATTATCACAAAAGAGGATCAACTTTTGAAAAAAAAAAAAAAAAGAACACACTAATATTGGTAAAATATTGCAGTTTAAAACAACCCTGTTAATAGAGAGTGTTTTAACCGGTTGTCCATGAAAGTACCAAAATGTGAAATGTGAGGGCAAGAAAAGTCGCTTTAAATCAGTATCTGTTTGCAAATCCTATACCACCTGTGAAAACAGAACATACCTCTTCCATTTAATATGTGTTCAAATGTTTTTAAGCCTCTTCCATTTAATATGTGTGAATGTTTTTAACAGTGCCCAAAAATGGAGACACACATCCATTTCTCTTTTTTATTCAGAAAAATTTTGAGATATTTAAACATGTTCACAATTGTTGCTACTGTAAGGATAAAATAAACTCAGATACTTTGATCTCCTGAGAAACAAACAATACACTGGCATCTTCAAGACACCCCACAGAGGGGTGGTGCAGGAAACGCCTCTCTCACATATGCATCAGTGCCTTTTCATCTGCTCCCTCCACTGGATTCACTCAGAATGGTCAATAGTATAATGTTTATACCCTCCTTCTGAATCAGGCAGACTTCAAATGACTATGCTGCCTGCTCCTAAGGACTGAATCAGTTGTCTTTATAACTGAGGATGGCCTCATGCAAGCAGAACTTTGTTTCTTTTTTTCCAATATGAAGACTTGATGAAGCATATCAGTCTCTGTATTATGTACATATGACTACAGAATAAGCAGCTGGATCTATTACCCATACCCAGATGAGTCTTAGTAGGAGTTTCCACCTCACACCATGGAGAATGCATAACTCTATTGCACTGTTTGCATCACTTGCCACATCATTAAACCCTTTGACAACATACACCTGCTCTGGGGCATTGTGACTCACATTCAGCCAGACAGAAGGACAACTCTGACTGCGTCATTCGCTGATCGGTTCATTCTCTGAATGTCAGTT